GTGGCGCCGACTGGCTCAGTGACAGGAGGCACACCGGAGGCAGCGCCGGCCAGACGCGGCCTCAGGCCCGGGGGCAGAGCTCGCCTCCTGTCTGGCGACAGAGCAAAGCAGGCGCTGGCGGGGTAGCTCGGCCGGCCGGACCTCGCCTGCACGGGCACAGGCTGTGGGCCCCGTCGCTGACCAGGGCACGTGCAGGGGGCCAGCGGTCGCTGTTTCTCACGTTGACGTCTCTCTCTTTCACTCCCCCCTTCTCTCTCTAAAATCAATAAATACATCCTGGCACGAGGGTTTAAAAAAATATATTTTTTAAAAAAGGTAAAGCAAATTGCTCTTGAGAGACCCCCCACGCTCCCTGTAGAGAGAACTGACCGAGGAGGAGCCCGGCGCGCGGGGCCCTGAGCCGGCTCCCCCTCACGGCAGGTGCCCTTCCTGCGTCAGGACAGGGAACGTACGTTTCAGAACACGCCGCTGTGAAACCTGACGAGGAACAAACACATCGCGCAAAATTTTAAAAATTCCAAATACAGTCCCTGCACTAAGGAGCTGAAACGCTGCTGCTGAACCCTGTGCCTGTTCAGGAAACTTGCTGAACCTGGGGGGAGCCCAGCCCCGAGCCCCCACCCTGCGCGCAGCTCGCCCTGGCGAGCACCGCGTCCACCGCAGACTCTGCGCCTGTGCCCCGCCCGCCCGCCCCCCCTCCCCGGGGCTCCAAGCGCAGCAGGCCCCCTGCTGACGTGGTCTGAGGGGCGACGTGCGTCCAGGGAAGCCTCGCCCCTGGAGTGGGGCTGTCCTCGGCTGTTCCCCCCAACACTGACCGCGACTTCAGCCGGCCTGCCGCGCGCACCTGCCTGGACACACGGGGACTGCGAGCGCGACGCCCGCTCGTCCGTGTGTCGGCCTCTGAACGCCCGGCCGCCCCCGTGGCCCCGTGGTTCCCGCCGCCACCAGCCACCCGCTTCCACCGAGCGGCGTGACCGCGGGACCTCGGCTGCCTGGCTGCCCTCCCGCCAGGCGAGCCGCCGGAGCGAGAGCTCAGGAAACGGCAGCACCCTGGTTTGCACCCTGGGTTTCCGCTGCCCGCACCTGGCTCACGTCCCTCCGTCTGTGCTGAGTGCCCAGAGGACACCGGTGACAGACACAGTCCCTCGGGGGAGCTGGCTCCGCAAGCATCCGTGCGCTCACCCCGGACTCCTAGATGCACGAGGATGACGAGGTGACCGATGCACCATGGACTCCGGGGCCGAGCTGTGTGACGTCCCTGCGTCACCGCCACCCTCAGAGCAGGTCCCGCAACTGTCCACGTGGTACCGAGAGGAAGGGGCCACAGCCGGCCCACGGCTGGGATTCTGACTGGGCCACCTCCAGAACTAAGCAGGCCAGGCCGCGACGCAGCGCCCGACAGAAGGAAATCTCACCTCCCCGTCCACCTGTCCCTGGGCCACGCCAGCAGGGCGGGCCGTTGGGCCACGCCGCTCGGAGCCGGCACCGAGGCACCGGCACTGAGGCCCAGCCCGGCCGCGGCGCGGAGCCTCTCCTCTCCCCAGGGCCCCGCGCCACACCCCAGGGGGCCCAGGCCGGCACCCGCCCGCTGGGGGATGGGCTCCTGGAGGTGGGGGCAGAGGCGGCGTCGGCCCGGGCCCCCAGCCCCCAGCGCCCCCCACCCCCGCAGCGCCCGGACGGCCCTGTTCCGGTCAGCACCTCCGACCCAGCCACGTGGCGGAACTGCCCAGTGGCCAGGTTACGAAGTGAAAAAATAAAACAAGTTCAATCGGTATGTACAAGGGAGGACCCCAAATATCAGCATTATCTTCTGGAGGGCGGGACCACTGCGTTCCAGGCGTGCCGCGCTCGGCGAGTGCTCCGGGAGCCTCCTGGGACAGCGCGCCAGCCGGCGTCGTTGTGAGGGGCTGCGTTCGGCTCCAGGGAATGTGTTTTTGAACACTCAACGTGTTTGCCTGCGTCATGACAGATGATTCACGAGCGCACCTGCCCACGCCACGTGGAGTGTTCAGCAGTTTTTATCCCAAATCGTGACCCCCATGACCTGCACTCAATCCCACCCCAAGCAACTTTGTTTCCCCAGATGAAAAAGTCCTCAAAGGGAGACCTTTTTGCCGACATGGAAGAGGCGAGACAAGACGGCAGGAGCACTGAAAGGCGTCAGGATCGGTGAGTCAAAACCTGCTTGAGCAGCAGAAAAAAATGCCTTGATCGGCATATTGCATCAGATGGCAAGGACTTTGAGAAGTTTAAACGTGAGAAATACAACTTTTTTATAAATAAACGGTTTTGGGGGCCTCCCCTCATGTTTACAGCTTGACGTGGACGAGCCTCATCCCCAGTGCGGGGCCCCCCGTCTCCCTGTCACTCCGAGGGGCTTCCCTGGCCCTCACGGTGGCAGGCCGGAGGGCGGGGACGCCCCGGGCCGCGGGCCGCCCTGAGGTCCCCTCGCCTAGGGCGCGGCCCCAGAGCCACAGGAAACGGCTCGGGAAGCCCTGGCCCGCTCTCCTGCCCTGGCCTCGTCAGCCTGCCGCCTCTTCCTGCTTCAGGGCCGAGCGCAGAGCACAGCTCGTACTTGGTGGTCGAAAAATCCAACCCTGCAAACCCGCTGAGGCCAGGCTCCAAGTCCCACACCACCTGTCTCAGAGCCCGACGTCACCCACAACGGATGCCACCCAGGACGCGCAGGTGCCCCCAGGAAGGTCCGGAGGGCGTGCTCGAGGGCAGCGCCGGCCCCGCCCCCCCAAGCCCGAGGGGCTGCGAGCCTCGGGTTTGGGGCGAGACCGCTCCCTCCTCCGTCGTCAGACACGTCGCTGTCGGGAGACAGGCTCTGCCTTCACGTGAGTGTCCTGCAAGAGCTGGCCTCGGCCTGCCCGCCCGCACGCCCACCTGCTGGAGCGGGGCCTGCCGGCCGCAGGCGGGGCCACACGTGGCTGGGGCTGCATGTCCGGATGTCCGGGCCCGTCCGGCCCCTGCTTCCCTCTTCCCCACGTGGCCCCCCAAGCTCCCGGCCGCTGCCTTCGTCTTTGGCCCTTAGAGTGGAGACGGGCCGGGCGCCACTCCCAGGCTGCGGGCCTCACAGGGACACGCACGGCCCTTTGGGCCTGCCACACGGGCGCCAGGGGCCAGACCCTCCACTGAGGGGCGCCCGCGCGCTCCCTGCCCTCGGGCAGAGAGCAAGGCCACAGTGGCGGCAGCGCAACGCGGGGCTCCGCAGGGCGGGGCACGGGCGACGACGGGAGCGCCCGAGCGGGCCCTGGGGCCCCCGCGAGGAGGACCGTGAGCACACCCGGCACCCCAGTCGCCTCCGGCCGCTCGGACGCTGCCCCCGCCCCCCGGCAGCGCCCATCGGCTTTCTGCCACCAACACAAGTTGGCGTTTTCTAGAATCCTGTCTACTCGGACTCGTTCGCTCAGCGTGACTCCTGAGACTCACGCGGATGGCGGCTTCGTCTTTCCCGGGCAGACGCGGGGCGGGGGCCGGAGCGCGCGGGGCGGGCTCGGGCCCGACCCTGGAAGAAACCGCCGGGCTGTCCCCCGCGGCCGCGCCGGACGGCAGCTGGCGAGCCCGGCCTGTGCTGTAGGCGTTCGGACAGACAGTGGCAGGTCAGCCCGGAGGCCGGCGTGGACCCGCAGGCCCCGGAGGCTCACGATCTCGCCGCCCTTGCACGGGCTCAGGCCGCTGCTGAGTGTCTGTTCAAACCCCGTGCTTTCTCCAGGCCGGTCATTTAACACTGAATTCTGGGAGCTCGTCCCTCGTTCTGGACACGAGGCGCCTCTCCGCCCGCCGGGCCCTTCACTGTCCGACCGCGAGGCGCCCCTTTCTGAGGAGCCCCGTGCGCTAACAGCCCCCAGGGGACGCCGTCTCGGGGCTGGGGTGGAGAAAGCCCTGCCTGACGCCCTCCAGGCCTCCTGCCGGAGGCCGCCCCGGGGGCGCGCGTTCAGGGCTCGGGCTCACCCAGGGTGCCCGTCTGTCCTCGGTGTCGGGTTCAGCTTTTGCTTACGATGCTCACTGTTCAAGCCCCCCATTCATTTATCTTTGACTTTGCTTTTTTAGTTAAAATTGTTTCAACTGACAGAGGTGCACTGACAACAGAAAGAGCCCACACCCGCCCGCGAAGCACCGCCCCGCACACGGGACCACCTGCTCTCGCTCCCCCTCCAGGCGCGCAGGACCCCTCCCCGTCGTGGGGCCTCACCTCGTGCTGTGTCATCTGCTGCCCATTAACGGAGAGGCAACTTGGAAAAGGGCTCCTGCTTCCAGAGAGCGGGGCTGGAGGGACACACTGCCACCGGGGGCGCAGACCGTCCCCTCTGGGACCTCAGCCCCTCCCGCGGAGAACCGGGGTGGGGGCCCTTCGGAGAAAACACGCTTCTTCTTGCCCTGGCTGGTGAGGCCTGGCTGGCTGGAGGGCCTCCCGTAAACGGAAAGGCTGCAGGTTCAGTTCGGGTCCAGGCACACGCCCAGGCTGCAGGCTCGCTCGCAGGTCGAGGTTCGTATGAGAAAGCAGCCCCTCAGTGCTTCTCTCTCGTGTCAACGTCTCTCTCCCCCACTCCCTTCCTCCCTCTCTAAAAAAGCAACGAAAAAATGTCCTCGGGAGAGGACAGATTTGAAGAAACAAACACACACATCTCAGTATCAGTTTGTTCTGAAAGCCAACTTTGGACTTAAAAAGAGGGATTGGAAAAACCATGGTTTGTTTTTATTTCCTAAAGTTTTTATTTATTTATTTTTAGAGGGGAAAGGGAGGGAGAAAGAGAGGAAGAGAGACGTCCATGTGTGGTGGCCTCTCACGCGCCCCCTGCTGGGGACCTGGCCCACAAGCCAGGCCTGTGCCCCGACTGGGAATCGAACCGGCGACCCTTTGGTTTGCAGGCCAGTGCTCAATCCAATGAGCCACACCAGCCAGGGCAAAACCAGGTTGTTTAAAGAAAAAAACCAAGAAGAAATTTAAATAATGTTCTGTAAAAACTGACACAGACTAATTATATCAAAATTACCTTAATTCAGAAGTGTTTCCGGTCCAGTCTCCAATGCATGTAAAAGTGTCTGCAACAGACAGAGAAAAGGCTACATTTGCGCGGCGTTCAGGTGTGAGGATCAGCCCTCCCAAGAGTTGAAGGAGCACGGAAACCCACCCTTCCCCAGCCCCCTCCTCGCGGGTCCGGACCTGCCCCTCCCCTCCCCCGCAGGCAGGATCTCATCGGACCGTCAAAGCAGCCACTGGCCAGGCCGCCAAGTGCGGGCAAGTCTGCCTGGGAGCAGGCCCGGCCGCCGCAGCCACGGGGCCACCGGCCTGGCCCAGGGTCCGGGCGGCACCTGGGGTGGAGGCGGACACCACGCAGCCAGAACCAGCGCAAGTTAGCTCTCGTTCCATCCCGCAGTATCTGCTGTCCTTTCCCAGGCACCGAGTTTCAAACCCTTCCCGGTGCTTCCGCAGTTCCTCCAAACGGACGCCAGGTCTGCGTGCACGTGGGCTCACAGCCGGCGAACGGGGGCGACGACCCCAGGCGGCAGGGCCCACCTGCAGCGCGTGCCGTGCAGCCCTAGGGAGGAGGCAGGCCCGGAGGCGCCACCACCCCGTGACGCGAGGAAGAGCCGGCCACGGGCTGGAGGGCGGCAAGGACAGGGCACCCCAGAGAGGCCCGCCCGCAGGCAGGGTGCCCGGGAGCGCCTCCCGGGCGAGGCAGCGGCGCTGGCTGCACAGCACTGTGGCTGGTTCACTTGAAAACGCTCGTGTTCCGTCACGGGAAGGTTACGCCAAACGAGGGGAGGAAGAGCCCCGGCTGGTGCGGCTCAGTGGGCTGAGCGCTGGCCTGTGAACCGAAGAGTCGCCGGTTCAATTCCCAGTCAGGGCACAGGCCTGCAAGGGACAGCCACACATGTTTCTCTCCTCCTCTCCCTCACTTCCCCCTAAAAGTAAGTAAAAATCTAAAAACAAACAAAAAAAATTAAAAAGGGGAGGGACAGGGAAAAGTTCCATTAAAGATGGTTCAGAAAACCGAAGCCACACCACACGTGGACACGGAAGCTGGAGGCCATGGAGACCCAGCAAGCACCCTCCGCGGGCTGCACTGACCGGCCACGGTCGAAAGCAGGGCCCCCTGCCTCGGCGCGGTTGCTCTGTGTGGCGGGGCTGCCCGTCCAGTGCCCCTGCTTCCCCAGCGGCGCCAGCCAAACACCCCAGGCATCATGACACGTCCCTGGGGCCCCCGCGGTCGCCACAGTCACTCCACCCGCCACACACGGATCCTTCAGGTCTTCCCAAGAGAAACAGGAGGGACGATGAACAACAGTTGACTAAAGCAAACGTCCAGACTGCCTGTGGCGCCGAGGGGACACAGGTGGCCCCGGGGTCTGGAAGAAGGGCCAGCGCGCCAGCCCCGCCTCCAGCCCCTGCCTCCTGCCCCACAGGCGGGCGGAGCGGGGCGCATGGGGCAGGGCGGGGAAGCTGAGGACACTTAAACGTGAACGTGGATGAGGCACCACGGAGCCGACGTTGAGGTCTGGGCTGTGAGGCACCGCTGTGAACACGCAGAACACCCGTTCTGGGGGCGTCGGGCAGGAGCCGTGGGTGTGGACGGCGGCCTGCATCCACGAACCGGGTCACAGAGGCACAGAGAACAGCAAGCGCGGCCCTCGTGGCTGCCGATGGCCGCGTGTCCCTGGGCGCCGGCGCTCGGTGCCTGCTGAGCTGCACCTCAGCTTTCCAAAGCGTCAAGGGACGCCGACGTCAATTGAGGCAAATACACATTTTTTAAAAACATGCCTTTGAAGTTATCAAACAAGAGATGAAATGACAAAGTTGAAGTCAGAGACAATCACTGTATTTTGTAAGCGTCTGCGGACGTCTCCACGGCCCAACACAGGACAACCGGGCGCAGCAGCGAGCTCCTGACCTGACGGCACGGCCAAGGCATTTGGGTTTTCCAAACACCCCTCAAAACAAATGAGCATCTCATTTTCCACTTCCAAATCCACTTACTTCACCGCAAGCTCGCTGTCTCGGGCCGCGGGGCCGCACCCCGGCCTTCTCCCAGGCCCAGCGTTCAGTCTCGTGACCCCGTGTCCTGCCTGTCTCTGGCCTCGCCAGCCTCTGCTGCCCACCTGCTCCCTCCTGCCAGCAGCGCGCGCCCCTTCCAGCTTCTACAGGCGGAAGCTCGGACTGGCGAGACCTTTCGCGTGCTTTCTCTTTCTTCCCTAAGACTGTATTTATTTAATTTTTGGCGGGGGAGGGGAGAAACACTGACCGGTCACCTCTCGTGTGCGCCCCGGCCCAGCGTGAACCTGTGCCCCAGGCCTGTGTCCTGACCAGGAACCGATCCCCAGTCTTTTGCAGAGCGATGTCCAACCCACTGGGCCAGGCTAGTTGGGGCCGTTTTGTCTTCTGCAGAGAGCCTATAATTCTACAAATGTCCCCATAAGAACTGCCTTCTCTCTGTCCCACAAGTGTTAAGTTTGTTTTCACGTTCATACAAATGAAAACATTTGCTAAGGTCTCTTCTGACGTCACCTGTAACTTAATTTCCAAACGCTGGAGGACCTCCCCGCTGCTCTGCTCTGACCGTGAGCGGCAGCTGCGGATCAACAAGGCTCCAACGTGGTCGCCTCCCGGGCCGGTCCCGTCTGCCCGTTTCATCACCTGGCGACCGTGGAGCGCTTCCCGAGCCTCTCGTCACCACCGAGGGCCGCAGGGCAGCAGGACAGGAGCTCCCCGGTCGCCCAGCCCAGCCGGGCTGTGTCTGGCTCAGCGCCCGCACTCCCCATACCCCATGCTCTGCCACAGGGAGCTGCCTCGACCTTACGGTGCCGCGGGGTTGTTCACAGAAGTGCCGGCCGAAGAACAAGGGAAGGGGGCTTCTCGCAGCCGCTGCGAGCAGGAAACCAGGCTGACAGCCGCCCGCCCACCTGCCCACAGAGGAGAACAACTTCGCAGGAGGCCGCTCCACATCCCCGAGGCAGAAGGCGAACATCTGCCCGTACGAGGGGGCCGACAAGCGTGCAGCGGACCCCACACGAGGTCGCTTTCGGCGCCTGGCCACACGCACAGGCCTTCGGCGCCCTCCCGGGGCCGAGGACAGTGGCCGCCCGTCTCCCCGGGGCCGCAGCAGCCGGGCCCGCAGGCCCGCACCGCCCCCCCGTGGCGGACGGAGGGACCGGCGCCGCGGCAGCCCCCACACAGAGCCCTTCGGGCCATAACCACAACTGCTCGTTCCTAATTTCTAATCACGTTCTGTTTCGTTTTTTTTAAACATCCTGTACTTTCCTGTGTTTGTTAAAGACACTTCACTACGGTTTACACAGAGGACACAGTGCACCTTCAGGGAGAAAAGTTAGGTTAGAATTACTTTTTCATTCTTTGCAGAAAAATATCACCACGCAGTGTGCCCTGCGGAGGCCGCTCCAACGCGCCCCCCGGCGCAGGTTTGGCCCAAGTGAACAGCTGGGGCCCTGCAGTAAAGAAGTGGCTGCACCGTCGGCCCAGCAGGGGCAGGGGGGGGGGGCCCAGCTCAGCACCCGCCCCGTCTCGTGGACGCACTAAGGACACACAGCCCGGAACACGCGTGAACGTGGGGAAGGGCAGCAAACCGGCGCGGAGGACGGGAGGAGGCGCCCCTCCCAGCAGAGGGAGCGCCCACGACCAAGTCAGACCCCAAAGCTCCCCGATGGAAAGAGCAGTGCCCTGGGGGGGGCCAGGAGTCCGCGGCGGGGACCTCCCAGCGGCCACACTGGGAGCTGGGAAGCAGCGGAGCGCACGCTGCACGGATTCCAGAAAGGGACTCCACACGCCTCACGATCCCATCTTGGTCAGAACGAAGACGGAGAGTCTGGGAAGCTGCCGGGGGTATTTTCGCTCCAAAGGGGGGATGAGGAGGCCCCCGACGCGGGGCTCAGGAGCCAGGGCTTCCTGCTCCGACCTCGCGCCCTTCAGGAAGGCCCCGCGGCCCCACTCCAAGTGGCCGCCACATCTCCCGCAGCGCCCCTGGCCGGGCCGGGCCAACGATTCCCAGCCGGTGCGCTCGCGAGTTCTTGAAACACGCAGCACCTACCCGGGGCGCGGGCCTCTTTCCCCTGAGACTGTCCAACGGAACACTGACCACCGTGGACACTGGAGCCACCGCTGCGGAGGCCCTGCCTCAAACCACGAAAACGCAGGTTTCGTGAGCTGCGTCATCTTGGTCACGCCGCATAAGGTTGCATCTCATCGGTTGACTCATGGGCCACAGACCCTTGTATACAAGTATAAGCACCTGGCTCTTTAGAAAGTCACTTTGAAGCAAAGGGAAAGGAGGGAGGAAGAGAGGGATACATCGACGTGAGAGAGATACCTCGATAAACACGCCCCCAACGGGGGGCCTGGCCCGCAACCCAGGCCTGTGCTCTGACCAGGAATCCGACCGGCGGCCACCTTCCGGTTCGCAGGCACTCAGTTCACTGAGCCACACCGGCCAGAGCGTAATTAATCTTTAAGAAATACTCAAGGAAGATAAAATTCCTTGATCAAAGACTCCTCAGTCACAAGAATATCAGAAAGCCAGGCTATAATAACGAAAATTCCACCCAAGTTATTGATTAGAATTAGAAAGCAAATGAAACAAACGACCCGCCACAGCAGGAGTGACGAAGCCCCGGTCCCCCGTGCAGGAGGAAAGCGCCCCTCCGAGAACGTGAGGCCTCCTTGGCCAGGACGGGGGGAGGGGGCATCCTCTTTCCGCAGAACTGGACACCGAGAGCCTGCTGACCCGTGAGCCCACAGAGGCGGCAAGAGCCCTGAGCAGGGAGCCGGGGGCGGGGGCCTCCCGGTCCAGGCTCAGGGTGGGAGCCCAGGCCCTGCTGCCGGTGGCCCCCCGCAGACCTGCTGGAGGCTCGCTCCCTTCCTGAATGGACGGTTCTCCCTCCTCCCCATCCTACCTAATGTGCTGATGAGTGAGCTGGGGATGCGTTGTCAGAATATTAATTCTGACAATAGCTGGTTTTTCTTTTAAAGCCCAGAATAGCACTAACTCAGAAAGGAAAGGAAAGAGGCTCAGACATCGCTGACCCTACGG